TAAAAAAAACAAATAAAACACAGGCTACATGTCTTCTATAATAAAGTGCATACTTACACATTGTATATGTAATTTGTCAGTAAATGAAACAGTTGACCAAAATATATTCCTAACCCTAACCCTAACAAACCAGTAGCAAATGTTTTGATACAATCTCATTATCTAGCCTTTAACCTTAAGTTTCTTTAAAACAAAAGTAGTTTACATTTTCTATCAAAAATAATTATTAAAGAGTGTTTAGATTTGCTATAGCAAGGGCACCAGGCTAGTCTGACTGACAGGAGCATTATCTCCCTTAAAATACTCAGTCCTGCTGCACTTTCACTTTTCATCAAGTGTTTTGGCTGCACATGAGCCGCTGGAATGCACCGCGGGGAAAACACAGCATCTCATCCCTCTGCTGTCTCACCCAGGCCCTGACAAGTCCACTACAGTCCAACTATAGTTTTAATATGCAAAATCAATCGAATAAAGGGGACATATTTGCTTTAAGTGTGTGAACAAAGCAGGAAGTCCCAGCAACAAAGTTCATTAGATACTACATTACTTGCATTCTGGTGAGTGGTCAACAGTGCTATACAAGCGTTGGGATTCAGCTCTAACTGGGCAGGTCAGACTCAAGCTTTGCGCTAAATGTTCTTTATAAAATACATTAAAACATATTCATGATAGGTTTAATATCTTGAGTAATACAAACATGTACCACTTTTCGTAGTCAAGTCGAATCATATTATGTGAAATAGATTAGGTGAAGATGCATGGAACACAACTTTAACATTACACTAGTAGTTAATAATTTTTTAGTTCAATGCTCTTTTATGCGTCATTTTAAAGAGTATATGTCCCAGATTGTTGCAGATCCAGATGTGAGACTGGAAATAGCCTCTTGTAGCGATGACAAGCCTCTCCCTGACATCAAGGCCAATCCATCTGCAGAGTCAGAGGCCCCTGATCGTATGACAGCAAAATACTGTATTTTCAAGTGATCATTGTGGTTCCTATCATCCCGCTGGAGAACTATGTGGACCAAAATATGTTGCACTTTTCACTATACTGTACACATACTGTACCTTTTTGATGGGTGGATTTTGAAATGTTTATCTGATTGATAGTATTATAATTGTCTCTGGATGGCTCACATACCTACTGTATCTACATGAAAAAAAGCAGAAGCCAAAAATACACAAATTTGTACTGTACTTATCAAAATTCTACAAAGTTCAGAAGAAGGCTTATCTTTTTAAGACGTTTTGGACCTCACAACTTATTTATTAAGTTTATACACATTTATCAACTGATACAAACAGTTCAATCTAGCCAAATATTATCAATGCAACTTGTGCAGGACATTATTTTTATATGATTTTTGAAGCAAAGCAATCTTCCAAAAATCCCACGTGCAGCGCGTCTTTCAGTGCTGTTTGCTGGTTTGGTTTGAGGTCATCTGACAGAGGCAACGCTCTTATAAAAGGCCCTGGGTGCTGTGTGGGCTTGACGTTTTACTGCTGTAGCTCCAGACCCCGTTGAGGTGAATGTGAAAATATGTTTTAATTTAAGTTCAAATCCCTGAAGGATCACACAACCTACATCCTTATCAGATACTGCATACCTCATACCTCCCAGAATGAGTTTCAAATAGCAATCAACGTTTTAGTTGGAAAAAAGGTTCCAAAGGATTTTTTAAAATATATATTAAGAACTCAAACAGTACATTTAGAAACTGGTTTATTTATAGATTGGCAGAGTAGATACTGTACAGTGAATGCCAGCTCTACATAACTGTTTATGAATGTTAAAGTGAATGATTGAGTGGGATTTCCTCAACTGTAGTATTCTATCACTCAAAATGACAGATGTTGTTGAGTGGGTGCACACTAGAGACCTTCAGGCTTGACTTGGGCACGTACTGATTGCTACTGTTCCAGAGGTCCACAGCAGTGGCCAATATATAACTTCATTTTCGATGGGAGTGTTATGGTTCCCTCTCTTGGGAATCTCCAGACCAAGAGTAACATAGTTTCCAATGGCAGCATCTGTCTTTTATGAGTCAATTTATTTCCCCTGCTGCCTGTTTATTTATGGTGTGAGAGTATCTGCTCTCACACCATCTCTCAGTATGTGTAAGTGAAAAATGACTTTTGGTCAGTAATGTACATGTGATATACAGTATGAGTATGGGCAGTGATTATGGCAGGCCACTTCTGCCTTGGGGTATATAGAGAAAATGGATCCAGCCCATTGTATGTAGCATTTAGAAAATGTCTTAATTCAAGAAGGTGCATTTTGGTACATACTTTGTGGTAAGAAAAAATCTCCAGAAAGCAAACATCCAGCTATGGCGTACATTTTGTCTGCTTGTGATTGAGACTATGGGATTGAAACCACAGACCAAGTAAATGGACAAATAAATCTACACATCTATTTCCACACTCTCCTTTGATGCACAAGCATGAGAATAAAGATAATGAATGCAGTTTGACTTTCACTGCTATAAGAGTGGGCATGTGCACAGCAGGACATAACCCACCCATCCAGATCTGTTTTAATAAAAAGCCACTTAAAGAGCACCCCACACTGTTTGCATAGTCACCAGAGGTCCTCGTGTGTTGACTATTCTCTGCCCTCTACAGGTGTGGGCTGGTATCAAATGATCATCCATTCTGCTCTGATGGAGACCATATTGTATCAATAAGCCACTGTGGAGCAGTGACTGGCAATGCAAAGAGAAGCGGCCATTAAAGCAACACTTCAATTCACGCCAGTCTAAAAACCAAATTCCAAATTGTCCACACTTACAATTACAGCCTAGTGTGTAATTGGTTGTAATAACTTGGATGGGAGATAAGAAATATGAAGTACAAGCAGTTATGGTAGCAAAGTCTGTCATAGAGGGTTTGCTATTACTTAGTGAAGTGAAAACATGAAACAGTGATAACTAAACGGTAACATGAGCCCTCTGCGTTCCACTTGGTGTCATGAAAGAGGCTCTTCAGTCACGACGAGTTAAAAAGCGCAAACTCAACATCTTTGCCCTGAAGGAGAGCAAACCCCAGGGTGTGGTTGCAGCATTTAGAAAACTATGCAACTTCCACGCATTGAATGAAAAAATAGGCTCTCTAAATACAAATGGATAATGTACAACCTGCTGAAATACAAATACTTTGAGATGTTGTGATATCCCAAAAGTATATTACCCTGCCACAGGTTTTGTAGACAGGCCAATACATTATTGTGTACAAATCTAAATGTATAAGGTATTTTTACAAGCACTCTGGAAATGAATTAATTAATATAACTGAAATGGCAATGTGAAACTTATATGGGACAGGCTCATTACACACACGGTGAAATTGATCAAGCCTTTATTGATTATAATTTTGATAGTTACGTCTCACACCTTGTAAAAACCCCAAATTGAAAATGAAGTGTAAGCCATAATCATCAAAATTCTAACAAAGACATGGCATTTGTCACTTTGCATGTAATCGGTCAATATCTATTGGTTTCAAACTACAACAATATATTTTTACAATATTCTACTTTCCTCATTTTCACCTGTATGTTACATAGTCAAGTGTATAAATGACACTCCTTGGCATGATGGGATTTGGATGAAAGAATCTCCATGAGGTGATGGAAACACTAAAAAAAAGTTACTGAGCTCCTTTAAAGATAGTTGACGTAATATAAAAACCTTAGGATAGACGTCGGCTGCTGTATACTGACCGCTCAAACCACAGTCTTCTGCGGCTGACCAGAGGAAGCAGCTCTGGAGTCACAAGTGTTAAATGCATATGAGATAAATCCACAAGTGACCACAGGCGCTCAGTACATTTGAGTTACTTACCCCACAGCTGCTGACCCCAGTGCACTTTATAACTCTCCATCAGTCATTGGAATTCTTGACCATGAAAAACGTATCAATTTCTTTCTCCCTAAAGCTCGAACAAGCACGAACACAGAAAATGCTCATACAACGGTTTTGACAAGACCTAAAAAGTCGAGTTAATTCAATGTGTCATTTACCTGACAGCCAACAGTCTTGGTGATTTTCATTAATAGCAATTTTCTACATTCTTCACATCTGTGGTTAGAGGCCATGCTTCTTCTCACTGAAATGAGCTGACTCCTTATAAAATATGTTGAGAAAGACACAAATGTGAAGTCTTTGTTTATTGATGCATATGGAAAAAGCTTTACACATGAATCAAAGTGTCCAAATCATTTCAAGACGTAAAATGCAAGATTTTCAAGACAGAATGTAAACTATAGTTGATAACAATTTGACATTATAAGCTAATGAGGCAATGATCATAAATTCAGATCCATTAAAAAAAATATATATATATATATATTATTATTGGCCAAATTTAGACACGTTGATGAATAGTGATATATATTTTTTGGTTTAATCAGACATTTACAAGTGGGAGTCATTGATAGCATGTTTTGCGGAGACCCTTCTAATGTTCACTATTTGTCCTACATAGCACATCAATAACAGAAAAGTAGGCAACAAAATCAGCTACTTTAAAGTCGAAGTATGTGTGAAAACTAGAAAACATTCTCATCAAAACTATTTGCTAAATGCAAATATACCAAAATCAATCCTATTCTGTTTGAGCACTTAAAGGTTTGCACCATCATTTGTAATACATGAGGCAAGCAATCAATGTACAGTGTGTGAAGAAAACTATGACCCCAGAGCAAAACCAGTATTCACAGAGACATACTGCCCTCTTGAGGCAGTTTTGAGACCTACATGTCCTGCTTTTGTCGGACAAATAATTAAATGAAAATAAATATTCAACTTTTATAAACACAGTAAAGTCACAATGCAGTAAGTCTCCCCATAAAACAGGGGGTATCACTCCCAAGGAATCATATTTTTTAAGTGCAAAAGACATTTTCTCCTACTGTATATATACATTTGTTTCACTATTAGTTTGCATCGAGGTGGGAAGCAGTATTTTCAGACTTGTTTTTGAAAATAACTCAAGTCAAAAGGCTGTTGTGTCACCATAATCCTGGTTCCACTTGGAGTACATGTTGAGTGTTGTGGGGCTAACACTGGGTTTGATGCGCTTCAGCGAATCATCAAAGTCCTTTACGTTAATGTTTCGCATCTGTGAAAACACACAATGACAGTTCAGAGAGAAAGAAGCCGTGGCATAAATAGAACAAAAGGCCACAAGGTATTTAGCATTGATGCTTTGGGTATTTGATATCTTACCTCACTGGCAGCCATGTGTCTGACCTGCTGTGGCCCCAACTCTGCAGGAGAATAAACATCAGAAAGATGGAGTAATATCAAAGGTAATAGTCAGAGTTTTCAAACACCAAGGTTTGTTTTACCTCTTATTGGTCCAAGTGCAGCATCTTTGGCTAATGAAGTTAAATCACTTCCTGAATAGCCTTGGGTCCTCCTGTTAATGCCATAAACTTGCATGATTTTATATGGATAAAAAAACTGGATGAATCTAATACATTTCTTTAGAAACCTACCTTGCCAAGTTGGACATTTCACTTTTGTTCAGGGGATTCCCTTGCTTACACAATAGATTTTGAAGCAAAAGTGCCCGCGTCTGTAACCGAAAATATGAATACATTTACATCTCATATCATGAAAAATAAATGAATGATTCAATTCTGATATAGTTAGTTCACCTGTTCATCTGGCAACGTCACATATATCCTTTTTGCAAAGCGCCTGCAAAAGTGAACAATGTGAGTACAAGAGTCATTCTATTCTCACCTTAACTGTAAGAAAAATCTGAAGATAAATATGAGGTAAATGTATTCACCACATATTTATCTAATCTTCATAAAAAGCAACATTTGAATGCCATTTTAGGTAAAGTTCTGCATCTTCACCTCAGCACAGCTTCATCGAGCTCCTGGGGCCTGTTGGTCGCTCCCATCACAAGAACTCTGTCGTCTCCCCCGGACTGCACCTGAAACATGAGACGTGAAATATGTCTTCAAATGGAGAACCGTAAAAGGTACATCACAAAAGACAAGATAAACGTACCCCATCAAACTCCACAAGGAACTCTGTTTTAAGTCTGCGCATGGCGTCATGCTCCCCCTCTCTCCTCTCACACAGTAAACTGTCAACTTCATCTGATGAGAGATCAGCCAGTTGATTAACTATGTAACTTGCTGTGTCAATAAGTAAAACACTGACCTATGAAGATGACTGAGGGTTGTAACTCCCTGGCAACGGCAAACAAAGCTCGAACTAACTTCTCCCCCTCACCAACCTTCAGCAGAGGGTAAATTCAGACTGGTTCAAGTATAAAATATTTTAAAAGCTGTAAATAAAGTGTTTCTTACATATTTAGAGGTTAAACTCGCAGCACTGATGTTGAAGAACGTAGCGTTGGACTCCGCAGCTACAGCTTTGGCCTGGAAAGAAAAAAAAAACAATACATTTTAATGGTCAAAATGGGAAGATGTCTAGACAAACTTTATTGATATACTTACCAACATAGTTTTTCCATTCCCGGGGGGTCCGAATAAAAGTAACCCTCTTGCTGGTGACCTAAGTCCTGTGAAGAGCTACAAAGACAAAATCTTATTTATTAACTGATAATAAACATTTATACACCATCAAGGTAAATATTGTAAGCTCAACCTCTGGTCGTAAGGCAGGAAGAATAACAATCTCTTGGAGTGCTTGTTTTGCCATTTCTTGTCCTGCAATGTCTTCAAATGACACGGTCGCTCCACTAAATAGAAATAAATAAACAAATAAATATAAAAAAGATATTAGATCCCAAATTATCTATACCTGTCAACAATTTCATTGAGGATCAAATTTGCCAGTTTGCTGTCTACATTCTTGAAATTTTTCATTTCCCTCTTCACTGGTTGCTTTACAGCTGCCGTTTTCCCATTTGATTTGGCAGTGGTCGGGGTTACCTTCACAAAACAACAGCAGATACAATACGTGGTTAACAGTTTGTATTTCAAAGCCAAACTGTAAAAAAATAGTGAATCAGTTATAGATGGTTTCACCTTGAAATCGCTGGTTCTGGATGTGGGCCGCACAGCAGAGGGTCTGATATTTGACAGTGTAGAGCGGGGAGCAGGCTGACTCTTAGGAACAGGTTTTGGTTGAGTCGAAAAGAAAGAAGCTGAAGTCCGTGGAGAAACATTCTTCTGTTTAGAAGCCAATGTTGTCTCTAGAAAAGACGGATTTAGATGATAGAGTCATCCCATACAATATGAAAGGATTAAACAGTTTGAGCAGTGCGGTTGTAAGAACTGCCATGAAGAGGTCTAGTCTCAACATTGTGTGTTAAACCATACAACTACACTCTTCATAGTTTAATCTTAACTAAATTAATCACCCAAGAACTCATTTACCACTAACTATATTATGTGTGTCAAGAAATGGAGACAAGACAGCGCTGACATGTGTAAAAGGGAGAATAATATGCTGGATTACTGAAGAGAGTACCTTCTTAAAAGTGTAGCAAAATGTGATAGCGTGCATTGAATGCCTGATCATGGCAAACCTCAGAAGCTAAGCAGGGGGCCTGGTTAGAACAGTGAACGGAGAGTGGCGAGTCTGATGTGTGCTCGGATGTTTGGTGGTGGTCAGAGGGCATAGACCTTGCTTCTCAATATACCCCAAAGAAACTGCCACTACAAGTTTATCACAACTGTTCATGGACTGAATGAATAGTGACAAGTGAAGTGTCTTTGAGTGTCCAAAAACTATATAAAATCCATGCAGTATTGTTATTACTACAGTAACAAAATAATACAAAGATCACTTTTAATATTATGCCCAGAAATTGTGCATGCTACTTATAACAACAGGAGAACATTAATACATTAATTATGTACTGCTACGCTACTCAATACTCTACTACAGTATATTATTGAAGTTCACCCCTAAATTCCAAGTATCAATCTTGTTTCTCTTTCGGTTTTCTCGCCATGGATTTTTCCCTCTTAAGGCTAGTTCAGAATACAGAGTGGAACGCCTTATGCCACTCAATAGAGAGGAATATGTTTTCAACTTACCTAATAGGACCAGTCTGTCTTTAGCCATAGCAAGATTGTTGACCATTTTATCTTGCAGTCTCTTGGCTCTCTCATACTGCTCCCCTGTAAACACACATACATGTGTGAGAAATTTCTCTATGCATATTGTGCCTTTGATTGCATTTTATTCCTACCTTGTGCATTTATCTCCACTGCAATGCCCTTTTCAAGCTCAGAAATCCCTCTTTTGTACCACTGGACAGCCTCCTCTTTCTCTCCTGTAATAACACAACAGTAGGGGGTAATGTTACAACATCCAAACAAATCCAAAAACGCCCAGTACACATTACGGCTGGAAATACAAACCAGTGTCCTTCTCGTCGATCCTCAAGGCCTTGGAGATGTACTCAAACGCCTGCTTGTGGTAGTTTTTGATCACTTCGGCGTTATCTTTGCCTTTACTTGGACTAGTTTTCGTCGACATTATTACTACTAGTGTAACCTAGCTAACTACACCTATACAAATTTCTGGCAACTTACAGAGCACTGGCTTTTGGTGTTCATGGAAAACTAGGGCGATTGATGTAGGCATCCAAAAATAAGAGTAAGGCTACATTTGTACAGACATTTTCATCTCTTCGCTACAAAAACATTTTTTCGCTGCTTCCGCTCTTCATTTGACTGACAGCACATGTGCCCGCCCCTATCTTCTTCAGGCAGCGGTGATGAGCCATGAGCCGTCATATCGCCACCGTCTGGTGAAAGGTATAATTTAATAACATGATAGACAAACATCGCAAGCAGACTTTAAATTCATGCAATAAAATCCATATAGACTAGCTCTTAAAACAGTTTGATTCTATCACTAGTTTTCCACATTAGTGATTTAAAATATATATTAGACCTGGAAAATGCCCTACATGCAGAAGAAACAAGTCAATTTGGGTCTATCTGTGACATACGGAGTTTTTGAAGTTGTAGAAAGTGGGATATGAATGTGTTCTGATAGCCATGGGTCTATAATAATAACGGTGTGAGCAGAGACCTAATTTCCCCCAATTGTAACAATTTTCCTTTTATTCATGTATTTGTTTTTAGCAGGCTTTCAAGGCTCCACCTTTTGTTTTTTTCACTTCAAATTTATGACAGTGCTCAGGTGCCTTTGGTTAAAATGCACATCCTGAGCTTGAAAACATTTCACAGAATGCGCTGTCAATAATATTGATAACATTGCAACAAAACGGTTTAATGTCAAAAGGGGTGGAAAGTGACTATTTTCTCGCTTCCTATTGGCTTGTCGGGGAAAGATTACAGCTTATTTGCACACTGGTATCTATACTATAATTATTTGGAGACAAATTAAACCATCCTCTTCGCAACAGTCAAGCCCATATTCAGCCTCCACCAATCATCTTATTGAGGTTATTCAGCCAGCCAATGGGAGTGTTTCAGTAGATCATGGAAAAGTATTGGCCCTGCCCACTATCTGCTCCCCGGTTAAAGATCTCTCACTCAGATTCTCTCTGCTTCTGACAGCTAATGCTGGATTCTCTTTATCGCTCCGTTCACATTGGCACATAAAACACGACTGTATTTTTGTGCCTTTCAAAGTTTTGCAGAAGAAAGCCCAATCGCTGGCGTTTTGTTACTAGATTTCGCTCGGCTTACTACACATGCTAGCCCCATCCTGCCACCACACAGCCAGCTGAAGGGAGTCCTTTTGTCTGTAGACCACAAACAAGTTGGCAACTAAAGATCTGGGTCTTCCTTTCGCGTTTGACAATCGGTGTCATTTATTTTGTTTTACTTGTTCTGATAAAAGTGAAGTGAAGCAAGATAGGCGGCTGGGGAACCAAGATGTCGAACCGAGGGAACTGCAGAGACGCCAAACACGCCGGGGCCTGGTACTCTGCTTCGGGTAATTGTCAACACTGCACTGGCCTGATAGCTGTGTTAGCTTCGTGCAGATTTTAGTCCTTTTAAAAGCAAAACAATGTAAACGAATGTTGTGTTGCCAGTACTATTCCAAATTCGTGGAAGACACGTGTGGAACGTGAATAAAACAGATGGCCGTGTAATGTTTTTGTTTTTGCCATATTTAGCAAAAAGCTAGCATTTAAAGCTAACTAGCGGCTATAGCTATCGACTACCTCATCTCTGATCCTTTTGCTGCATTGTTATTGTGATGAGCTCATTCGACAGTTTTCCTCTGTGGTTGTTAAATAAAACTGATAAAGCATAGTGATATCCATGTTGATGTTGAATATACATGACGAGCTCCTATAAGTTGAGGAAATGTACCTTTTTGGCAATCAAGTCAAGTGTCATTAGGTTTATATCTGTCAGGTTATTTCCTCTTGACACTGTGATGCATTATGTCATGACTATTTGAAACTGTCAGATCTATATTCTAGTTTTGCCCAAGTTTAGAGCTGAGCTTCTTTCTAACGTGAAACAAAAGACTGGGCAGGGCAGAAAACCGCTGAAGGTTGCACCCCTTCCCCCATTCCACTGTGAAGTTGTTATTTCACAAGAAGGAAAACTATATCCATCTTTACGAAAGAAGCACGCCGTGTATAATTATATGTTATGTCCTCTACTGTTATTAACCGTCTATGGCTCCATTGCCTTTGAACATGGCAAAAGTTCCTCATCTTGTAGAGTCAGATAACATCGTTGGTTGTTTTTATGTAAATGAGCCAGTTAGTTCTGTTGACATCTCCAATACAGTCGCATTGTACAAAAAGATTGCTTGTCTTGATGACATAAAAATCTCAGAGCAAAGGTGCACAATTTTGCATAGCATGATCTCCACTGGATGTTTTTCTTTCTGAAGACTAGTCTTTATTTGCTCTTGTAAAAAAAGTAGGTTTAAATGTATTTTGCATTGAATATGACACTGCTAAATTTAGAAAAGTATCAAATGGATGATGGTGTCAGTGTATCTCTTTTTCAACACAAACCTATGATGTTCCCCTTGAAGGACAAACACAATTAACCATAGGATACTTAGTATAGTTTTTATTTTATTTTTTATAATTACTGCAAAGGGTAAATTAATCATGATTGTGTTATAAAATTATTGTTGATAAAGTGGACTAGATTTGATATTGGTGTACACCAGGAATGTCCAAACTCAGGCTCGGGGGGCCAAATGCGGCCCTCTGTGTCATGTTATGTGGCCCATTGCCTTGCTAACGCAAAGAAGTCTTTGAGATCATAAACAGAAGTTCACTGTGACATCCATCCAACTTCAGCTCAGCCAATATAGATATTTCGTAACTCGTTCTACAGCCCAGTATGTCTGGAATTCAGTTGTTGACTATTTGCATATACTGTACTGACGTGGATTTTGATTTTGTCACAAACTTTTGTTAATGGTTCTACTGTAGCTGGTGAGATGGTAAACAGTGTCATTCAGCCAACTTCAGCTGTTATAGCTCATTTTTAGAGCTCAGAACAGCCCAATGCCAGTCAACACAGTTTTACAGTTCATGACCCTAACCCTGGACTAGTCCTGTGAATTAAAATGGCCCTCTTACTAAAATGTTTGGACACCCCTGATGTACACAAATACATTTTAGCTGATCTGTTGGACTAAACTTTTCTACTTTGTTTTTCAGGTGCCCAGCTTAATGCTCAGTTGGAAGGTTGGCTGTCCCATGCTCATTCCTCTTTCAGACCTGCTCGAGCCATCATTGCACCGTAAGCAGAGATGGACTCTGAGCGAGTAGCTCTTTCTCATTGTAATGTCACATGTCTGTCACCCACAGGCATGCTGGGTACACCTACTGTGGTGCCTGTGCTGCACATGCCTACAAGCAGGTTGATCCCACTGTAACGTAGGTGTAATTGAGTCAGTGTAACTTTGCCCATTATGCTACCATTGGATTTGGTTATCAATAATTGAACGTGTGGTTTTACAGTCGAAGAGTATTCATCCTGGGGCCCTCTCATCATGTGGCCCTGTCTCGTTGTGCACTGTCTCCTGCAGAAATCTACAAAACTCCTCTGTATGATCTCCGGATTGACCAGAAGGGTATTTTCTCTTTGACTTTTGTTGATCTTTGGTTCTGGCTATTTTTTCCGCCTAATATTATGTTGTCATATACTACTGAAGTGAGTTTTTATGCACTACGAGAGGCAGTAAAAGGAAAACATTCATTGTGCAGAAATAATTACGTTTGACTCTTAAAAGTGCACAGTTGACCAGATCATGCATACAATGTAATTCCTGGAGTAGGCTTTATAGACACATACAAGTGATGTCATCATTATTTCATTATAGTCCGTAGTTAACATCAGAATTGCATGTTTTTTTAGTGTACGCTGAGCTTGGGAAAACGGGGATGTTCGACCGGATGACCCAGAAGACAGATCTGGACGAGCACAGTATTGAAATGCACTTGCCTTACACTGCTAAAGCCATGGAGAGGTAAAATGCTAGTATTAATAACACAAACAAAACGCAGCCAAGGTGAAATTTTAGTGTGAAGTCTTCTGGGGGTTGTTTCAATTGTAATTCTGCACATGCTTAGCCCCACTAATACAGTGGCACATGAGAAGTGTCAGCGTGCATAATTGATGGCAGCCTTCTGTTGGTTGGCATGAGTTAAAACTAATTTCTTAGGAGGAACCAGGAAATACAGGGAAATCAGACTGCCAGAGGTCTGCTGCCACAATGGCCTGTTTTCTATGGTTTAGCTGAGGATTTTGAGGACAACATTAAAGTTTGAGTGTTATGTCAATATGTTTGTTGATTCAAAGTTTATCAGTTCTATTGTTTACTTGTGGCACTTTCGTCAATTCACTCAGTGTGTCTGTTATTTGTAGTCGCAGAGATGATTTTACAATTGTTCCCGTGCTTGTGGGTGCACTGAGTGAATCTAAAGAACAGGAATATGGACGCTTGTTCAGCAAATACCTAGCTGACCCCACCAATCTGTTTGTCATTTCATCTGACTTCTGCCATTGGGGTAAGACATATCTATAATAAAAAAATTATAAAAAGTTTTATGATGATAAAGAGTTGTTATTTTCCTTTTTCAAGGTCAGCGCTTCAATTACACATACTATGATGAGGCACAAGGAGAGATCCATAGGTCTATTGAGCATCTTGATAAAACGGTGATTCTTTTTTCTATAATTCAAAACCGGTTTCTAATTACCCTAATGCCCATTTTGATGTACCCTTTGCTTTTTTCCTTAGGGGATGCGCATTATAGAGTCGTTGGATCCAATGCGTTTTACCAACTATCTAAAGAAGTATCGCAACACTATCTGCGGACGGCATCCAATTGGGGTGCTATTAAATGTATGCGTACCAAAAGAACATGTATTTTATATTCTGGTTTAAATCGTGCTCTAACCATTACTGTTTCAGGCTGTGGCAGAGCTGAGGAAGATTGATATAGATATGAGCTTCACTTTCTTGAACTACGCACAGTCGAGCGAGTGCCGGACCATGGATGATAGCTCTGTGAGCTATGCCGCCGGAGCGCTCATTGTCCATTGAGGACAAAACTCGTAGGGGCCTCAGCAGCGTTTCCACTTGACCCTTACGATCGATCGCCATATCCCCTCCAAACAACCACCCCAGCTGCTCCTTCTACGACAGAAAGGACCTAGACACTCAAAGCCAATACAATTCCACCTCTATCCCCTCTGTCCGACAACCCACCTTTCTACACTCTCCTCTCGACTTGAAGTGTGTGCTGGAGCTCTGGATGGAAGTATTTAGCCTGAAAAGCAGTTTAGAGGCATGGCGAGGGGAGATGTGATGGGTAGGTTACATTTGGGATTTTGGAAAACCTCAGATTCTTGCAACAAAGCAGTTCATTTACCCCATTTTGTTTACATGATAAATAATTTTCTTACTTTGACTCAAAGCAAGCAGCTTCTGTAATATGCTTCAGTGAAGGAAAAATCCATAATAATGGCAATTTATTAAACAATTGAAAATGGAGCCAGGCGACAGTGATTGAGGAGGTGAGGTGACGCCTTTTGCTGTTTGTCTTTTGCTTTAGTCATAAAAATCATATAGCTCTTTATATATTAGTTGCTAACAAAGGGCTGCAACCAACAGAACTTACTAACCCCTGCTATGTAAAACCAAAAACATCACACATATTACTCCCAATGTATTAAGTTTTGTTTAAAATATTATATGATAAAGCTAAAAGATTATAGAAAAAAATCTGTGGTACTAATGACATGAAAATGTTGTTTCTCATGTACAGTAGTGACCCACTTGTAGCATCCTGTAGATTTGATTCATATTCAGTGACAATATTTGCTACTGCTAGAATTATAGGCAACAATTTGCCAAATCACAAAAAAGACCAACAATTCTTAAGATATTAAGCCTCATTGCGGTTTTTTGTTGCTATCCAAAAATAAAGAGCTAACTGACAGGCCAATGATGGTATGGTAGTAATGGTCAAATAAAAATGGATACTACTACATAGTAAGACGATCACTTTTCAAAGTTTTCTACAAGTTGCAGTAGCATTTTCAGGTTTTGAAGAGTAGGCAGAATTAACAGCAGCGCACAATGTTAAATGCTTCTCTTTGGTATTGTAGCCATCTTGAGTGGCTCTGTTGCAGCAAAAAAGACCATTGGAGTGGAATGGAAAGCTGTTACATTTTACATCTGGCTACAATACTTTGGGCCCGCTTGACCACTAAGTTAAAGGAAACTAGTTAAGCATGACACTGTGCTATTGTGCCTTTTCTCACCGTTGCACATGGACATATACAGCATATTATTGTCACGTTTAAGTCTTATATTCAATGTACTCTTGTTTTCTCTATCCACGTGTGGCTCTCTTTCCTGCTTTAGTTCACTCAGCTCGCCCAGGCTGTGTGACCCCGCCCATCGGTCTAAAATGACACCAACTGTTATCTCCTGTCTCCAGCAGAGAGTGGTGTTCATTTTTTCCACCTCATTCCTGTAGTCACAAAAGCTGAAACCTCAATACTGTTATGTTTTACAATCTTTTTTATTTAGAAGTTGTTTTTCGATCGTATTCTTCAGTTTTTGCTTAGAGAATGGGAACGTACACGTTACATACATTAAGTGTAAAAGGAGAAAAAAAATGACTTACTGCTCCTTAAATGGAGTTTTTTATCTCAGGTTCCACTAAGCATCCCAAAAGGCTCTTAAAGGCCAAAAGTTCATGTTACAAAAAGAGTAAAAAGTACTGAAAAACAAATGTTTTAATGTCGTTATTCAACATTAATTGATGGGAATGGTTGTTGAAAAATATAGTGACAATATTCATCGCCCTAAAAGGGGAGACATGCAGATGTGCTTCAGGTATTTCAACCTTGTATTTTTTTTTTAATTGCCCTAAAAGCGTTCCTGTTGACTGGTCAGAGCCAACATCACGCAGCCCACTATATCTTTAGGCTCAAGCAAGTAAAACATCTCTTGATAAGGCATTATAATAGTGTTGTGCACATAACAGGGGGTAACAAAGTGAAACTTGTATATCATAGCCCTTGTATAGGTTTTTTTTTTCCAGCAAGATTATCATTATTATTTGTCGGTTTCATATTATTATTCCGTTTTTTCCGCCTAAACAATTTCAATTTTTGACCCTGAAGACATGCACAAAAGTCTGGACATGGTAGGTCTAAAACAACCGGTTCGGCGAAAAATTTGATAAAATGAACGTTTCCAGGTTGTCCCAAGCTCGCCGACTCTATAACGCCCCCTAGAAATTTCAATATTTTGTACAGAAACGAAATTTGGAGGAGTGGTAGATCTTTATGAGACGAGCATAAAAGCCGGTCTAAGCACATGTCTGGGACCAACAGGAAGTCGGCCATGATGGTCTGAAGTTTCGCCGCCAATTTGACTTTTCATTTTTTACTTCAAACTAGTCCCTGGTTATTCATCATACAGAGTTCTACCACGTAATTTCCCGCTCTGGACGGATTGAAGTTATACAATTATCCATAAAAAGTTAGAAATTCTTCACTGTTTTCGTCCCTCACCATGGCGAATAAGGCGAAAAGGAGCTGAGACTCACATCAGTAATATTACGTTAAGGCCTGAATGCAATGACACTAAAATCATTTCTAATATGAGCTCTTTAGCGCCACCTGTCGGAAACTAAGAGCACTAGTGCTCGGATCAGCCCGAAAATCGCTGAGTGTAATCTCTGGACCGAGACGAGCAGAACATTACAATACGCAAAAGATGTAAGTGCCACACCTGGCCACTGGGGGTGCCGCAAAGTGGATGAAAGAGCTTTTAGGGGGAAAATATTTGTCAGATGAGGCTAGAAATTAATTTACAAATACAGCGTATGACTCTGAACACAACGATTATGAATCAAACAACTGTGAGTGCAACTGTGCCACCTACAGGCAGTTCAACGTGTTGTGTTTTTGGCTTCGTACTTGTTAAGGCCGTTTTTGTTTCCTATCAAAAAAAAAGAACAAATGCTAAGTTTAAGTTAATATGCTTTATTTTGTGTGTGTTGGGGTGGGGCCAGGTATGATGCAGTTCTTTTTATGTACACCAGGGGGAACCAGTGAGGCAGTGTGGTAGCGTGGAAGCTGGCCTGGGTTGAGGCCCAACAGTTTTTTGATTGTGTAACTTTTTGTGGAAACTTGTATGTGGAATTTGACCTGTTACCTGTCGACTGAAACCTGTGCCTCATTAAAACAACCTCACCGTTATTCTGTAAGTCTGGTCATCGATTTTTTTTTCTTTTTTTTTTTTTTTACACCAGAACACAAGTCAAGCTAAAGCCATAGCCCAGGCTGCTTACAGTGGCAAAGACACTATTAAGAATTGCCACAACAATTGGTCAAAAAACTGGTGCACCTTCAAGAATTTCCATAAACCTGCTGGAATACCATGATCACAGCTGTGGATGGCTTTTGTGTGGACTATTTTTCTGCAGTTACAGTGTTTGATACACATTTTGTACAAACCGACTGAAGTCCTTTTTGTTATTCAACGCTGATCATTTGTCCAACCATCTACTGTGAGTTCTGCCGTGAAGAATACAATTACATGATTCCTGGAGGACTCAGGCTGTTGGATTAACCCAAATGTTTAATGGCTGAAAATATGTCAGATCTTCCTATGGCGGAACATGCCCACAAGAGGGAGCCAAAGCTCACTGAAAAGGCCATCGAAGCAAAGTTAAACCAATATCTCAATGGAAGGAGAGTCAAATACCGGCAATTGGAAATAAAGGCAAAGGTTACACAAGAACTGCTGAATGGTAACCCACCTTACGATGAAATACAAGAAAGATTTAAAGACTTTGAAGCAACTCTGGTGATGTTTAAACAACTAAACTTGTCTGTTTTGAAGTACTTAAATAAAGACGAGCACGAAGTGGATCAAGAAAATTGGTTTCAACCAAGACTTCAAAATCTTGTGGAGTTTAAGAAACAAATGTGTACATGGCTGATGCAAAATAAAAATAAAGATGTGGATGAAATTAATGAAGACGTGGAACAAAAGCGAATGGACACTTTAAGTGCACAAAAGGATGTTATCACTAAAGAAAGAAATGCAGATACAAAACCGAAATGGGCACCCCAACAAACCGAGCCGATTGTACAGGAAGAGAAAAATGTATTGCTCAGCCATGAGATGTGCCCAGAGGTGCTGGCATTGACTAAGCCATGCCATGCAGCCACCTCGATTTCACTTTCCTCCAAAAGTGGCCGCTCAATTTGCTCTACATCCTCTTCAATACGTCTAAGAGAGGAGGCAAGGAGGGCAGCGTTGGTAGCCCAAGCAGCTTCTATACAACAAAGGAAAACAATTGCATTAAAGGAGGCTGCTCTAACTATAGAAAAAGAGGAACTTCAGATACAAACTGCTCTTGCAATGTCCGACGCAAAACTTAAAGTGTATGAAGGGACTGCACATACAGACACAGAAGATGATTTAGATGACTTGGAATCATGTGTCAGTATGACATCCGTAACAAACTATCAGGACAATGCTGCCGCACCAGTACCAGAGCGTGGTCCTCCGCCCATTACCTTAAGTACTGGGGCCAGACCCAAAGCGCAGTATCCTACAACAACCTCTAGATCAATTGATGAGGATAATGACTACAAAAGAGACATATGTAACATTCTGAGAGAACAAACAAAAATATCAAGACTCTTGTGTCACAACAACAAACAACACAACTCCCCAGGCGTGAAATACCAGTGTTTACAGGTGACCCGCTCAGTTTCAGAACTTTTATAAAAGCATTCAGACTTGTTGTTGAATCCAAAACAAGCAGCAACACTGATAAACTGTATTTTCTAGGGCAATACACCAGGGGAGAACCACAAACTTTAGTGAAAAGTTGCCAACATATGCCTGAACGCAGTGGTTTTGCACATGCAATGTCTTTACTGGAGGAACATTATGGACATCCATTAACTATTGCTACTGGTTTATTGGAAAGGCTTTACAATTGGCCAACTATTAAAGCTGAGGATGCAAAGGCACTAAACAGTTTCCCATTATTCTTGGTTTCTTGT